GAATCTTAAGCTAAGACCAGAATCCTGTTTTTAACCCCTGCTCAGGTGGTCTTCCCACTGTACAATTATTCATGGAGTAGCCACATCCCTAACAGCATGTGGCCTCCATTCTTGGGTGGCTGAATTTTTAGACCGGTTTCAAGATTTCACAGCAAATACTGGCTTTGATAATAAACAGAAACAAAGCCACGTTGCCCACTGAGGTTTTAGCAACTCTTTTATTTGAAATGTAACCTGGCAATTTTCAGAGCATTGCAGCACACTGCTCTTCGGCTTCCTTGATTAGACTGTACCTTTCTGCATTTAGTGGATGGTCTTAGGACTGAAATAATTTTTTAAAATATTTTATTGATTTTTTTACAGAGAGGAAGGGAGAAGGGTAGAGAGTTGGAAACATCGACGAGAAACACCGATCAGCTGCCTCCTGCACACCCCCCCACTGGCAATGTGCCCAAAACCAAGGTACATGCCCTTGACTGGAATCGAACCCGGGACCCCCCCAGGCTGACGCTCCATCCACTGAGCCAAACCGGCCAGGGCTGAAATAATTTTTTGTTTTGAAGAGGCAATTTGGCCAAGTTGACAAAAGTCATTGTATGTGTGTGTGTTTTACACACACCTAGAACAACCATTGTTAATTACATATATATGGTCGGAGTTACACACACTTTAGAAAAAAATTGGAGCAGGACCAGAACCCTACAAAGTGACAAATTACTCCTTTTGCAAGTTATTTAAACAGCATCTCTCGGGTCCTTTATGAGAGACAATAACAAGCTCTAGTCTCTGATAGTGCTCATGAAGTAGAAGTCTTTTAAGAGACCCTCATGCAGGTGAAGCGGATGCTCTCCTCCCCTGGTAGTATTGGACATGCCATACTGTGCCACTGTCTGCCCATTCCCAAGTCACAGATCCTGGTGCAAGGACCACAAGATCGTCCCTCCTGACTACAGCTGACTGAACCAAGATGAGCACGTAACCGACGGGCAGCCAATCCAAGGGTTGGCTGTAAACTTCTGTGGCCTGATATAGAAAGGACAGGGCCAGACCCCACACCTTAGAATCTCAACTAAGAAAAACCAAGGGAACCGGAGCCACATGGTATTATGGCACACAGGAACTTGTGGGAGCCAGAAGTACAGAAAAGATGGAGTAACAGAACAGGCTGCATGGAAGCAAAAAGATGAGACATTAAGAACCATGTACTTAAAAAAAAAAAAATCCCGTGATTCCGTAGAGCGGCCTTGGTTCTTGACACCGCTTCAGGCTCAGCTGGCTTCGTGGCCCTCTCTGGTTGGTCCTGCACACCTCTTGATGGCTGCCATTCTGACACCTTCTACGTGTCAGGCTCCGTGCTCAGCACTTTCACAGGTATCCCCTAACCTAACACCTCAGAGACAGAGGTATCCTTCTCCCTATTTTACAGATAAGAAACTAGGCCCATGATGGTTAAATAATGCATGATCAGTATGTTACTTTTGCTGATACCAGGACTTGAATCTAGGTCTGAGTCCATGCTCTAAACCATAAAGCTGTACTAACCCACGTGATGTGGCCTCAAATTAAGGCCTTGCACACTGCCCGCTCCCACTCCCTCCCATCCCCGACCTGACCTAACTCGACTACTTTCTGCTTGTAAGAGCCTGACACTTCCCTAGTCAAAGAATGTCCTCCATGTACAATGCTGTTTGCTTTGTAGAGTGAAGGGAACAGGATCAAAGATATCAAGCACACAGATAAAACATGTATCTGAAGATAACAGAGTCCCTGGTCTATGAGAGCCTTGTGGGAAGACTTGCTTTTATTCATTGCTACTGAGCAGCCCTTGGGCGCTAGCTGTTGAGGAAGGGATGAGGTGCTTTCCTGCCCTTCCTCAAGAGAAATCCGAGCAGAAATTTGGGTTCTGCCTTAGCCAGTTTTCTCAGTGGTTAGAATGTTGGCCCGTGAACTGAAAGGTTGTGGGTTTGATTCTGGTCAGGGGCATCATTAGAAAAAAAAATTTGGGTTTTCCATACCATTTAGAATGAACAGATAAAGGAACGTGGGTCCTTTATACCAACAAGGCTTCTACAGACAGTGAGCATCTGTTATGCCCCAGTAGGGCATAGGGTCTGGTCCTGGTTGAGATAGGCAGGGATACTCAATCTCTCAAAAATGCTCCAAAGAGCAGCCCAGCAGCCCTTCAGTGGGAACTCTGTGGACTGTTCCTGATGAGGGAAGTTATATAAAGCACTGCTCTAGCACGAGCCCAGCTATGGTGTTACCAACATCGAATATCCAGCAGAAAGGAGCAGTCATCAGCTTTCACTTTCTAGATAAACTTCCATTTATTTCCACATCTGTGGCTGAACCATAGGTTCATCTTATGGTGACAATGAAAAAACCTAGTAAGCAGAGTGAATCTGGTTACAGTCAACACCTGGATCCACTCCGGTGAGATGGTGCCCATTTATGTGATAGTACAGATTTCTCAGTCCAGAGGGCAGCCTAATGAGGATGTTTCTGGCTTTTCCTCTTTCCTATCAAATCTGCTCATGACACCCAATCCACGGGTACTTCTTTAACTGCTCAGTTAAATGCCTGGTTTCACTCAGGAGCCCTGGCTGGACCAAGCTTCTCCATACACTGAAATCTTTTCCACTGATCCATTTTACTTACCCATTCTTGAATTTTACGCAAACAAACTCTCCAATTTGGAGATGGCCTGGAGTTCTACCTGGTGGAGGGAGAGGAGACCAGAATGCACCATAGTCGAATGTCTAGTGTGTACCAGGGCCAAAGATTAGGAAAACCCCTACCTCCATCTTTCTGCAGCATTTTAACCCACAGGTCTCTTTTGTTAGTAAGCTCCATGTCTTCAGTAAATCACTGAGTAAAAAAGAATTTTCCATATTACCTAGTCCAACATCATACCTAGAATTCCTTCTCCAGCATCCTGTGGTTAAATGCTTAAATCTGTTCAGAAAAGGGAACATACCACCTAAAGGTAATACTTTTAATTCTTCTCCCTTTTCTTTAAGATCAGGGTGGAAACCAGAGCTGGACCTCACACTCATGTTCCTAGTGGGTCACCTGTGAAACTAGAATTCCCAGAACCCCCCAATTTTCTCAGAGTACGAGTCTAGATCCTAGTTAGAAAGCTCCCACTATGCCAGCATTCTGTTCCTCATGTCCTGGTTTGTTCTATACCCCTGGGTTTCTTCATCACTTCACATGATTCCTGGTACTGTGACTATCACAGAGTAGATGATATCACTGTGATTATCTGAAGAGCAGCATGTTCAGACAGAGCCTTCCTAGAGGCAAAGCTGGCTGAGGTAAAGACGCTTTTTCCTGGTGTGGTTATGCACAACCAGGCAGGGTAAAGGCTGTGCTAGGTGATAAGGAAAAAATGAGTCCTTCCCTTACTATTTCATAAACAAAGTGTCCTAAGTACTCGCAGACCTTGTTTCCAGGCATCTCAGGAAGATCAGGGGAAACAAAAGAGTGTGGATATAAACAGCTTTTCTGCCTAAGACTTAGGGTTTCTGTATTCTCTGCCTTCCACCTCAGGCTCCAAGCAGGAGTAAAATAACAAATCAAATTGATTTCAGTCAAGTTTCAGCAGGAATGTCTCTGCTTTGATTTTGCTTCTTATTTGGCTTTGCCTGGATAGAAGCCAGAGACAGAGAGAGGATTTTGGCAGAAGAAGCAATGTATCACAAGATCTAAAAAAAAATTTTTCTTAGAAGCTCACTTTTTCTCTTTCACCAGCCTCACTTCGCAGATGAAAATATGAGATCTGTAAAGGAAAAGAAGGGACTTACGCCCAATTGCAAAGCCACTTAGGAGCAGCACAAGGCTCAGATGCTCCCAGGGGAATGAATGACCCTGACAAAAGGACACATGGTAGCCAAGGTCCCTAAAAGCAAAACCAGCAGGAAGAGGCCATCCCTGTCTGCATCTGGTGCTTAGCTCTGTGATCTATGAAGTCCCTCAATCTGTCCACTGCCAACTCGGGAATGGCCAGATGGGTGAATATTTTCTAACGGCTCAAGAAAGTTGCATTATCACACCAGCACCTCACTACTGAGACAAAAGCTGGGTGTGCCAGTGTACCTAGCTTTTCTGAAACTTCATAATGCTTCTGGAAAGTGCTGTGATTTTTTTTGCTGAGGACTGTCAAGAATATCAGACACTAGAAATAGAAAAGCCATCTTATTGGCTTATAAATAACAAGAACTGGAAGTAAGTACCTCTAAGAAACATGGTTCAGGCATAAAGGTTAGGCTGTCATCATTTCTCTGGGATTTCTAGCTTTTACAGCTGGGGCTGAGAACACTGTTCCAAACTTTTTAAACCAGGACCTCGGCAGAGGTTTCTGGCAGTTTAAATGCCAGTGAGAGGCTTAATGCTGCAAATCAAGCTGGTGAAAGTTAAGCACTGTTCTCAAGAAGCCTTTAAAGTCAGATTTCTTGCTCACCCAATATTTAACAAAATGTACTTAAAAAGAATTAGTCTAGGAAGGCCGCATTGAGCTATCATTTGGGAAGAGACAGTCCATTAGCACATGAGTGGACTTTACTAGCATTGGAAGGAGCAGGACTATGGACTGAGGCTGGAGTACTTTCTTCTAACAACTGTCTTATCATCAGGGGACTAATGAAAGGCTCTGCCTCAGATGGGCTTCAAGCTTTGGAGGTTCTTCCCATGTAACTGTCTCTACCCAGAGCTGCAATCGTCCTCAATCTATTACCCTGTGATGAATTACCAAAGGACAAATCATGTTTTCCTCTCTCTCTGCAATTTCTGCTTAGGTCTCATTTTTTGAAAAGATGGGGATGCTGGGCTCTTTCTGTGTTTCAAAATGTGTTATTCTTGGCCAAGCCAGGGTGACTCAATGGTTGAGTGTCGACCTATGAACCAGGAGCTCACGGTTCAATTCCTGGTCAGGGCACATGCCTGGGTTGCGGGCTCCATCCCCAGTGAGAGCCATGCAGGAGGCAGCCAATCAATGATTCTCTGGCATCACTGAAGTTTCTATCTCTCTCCCTTCCTCTCTGAAATAAAAAAATATGTTAAAAAAACATGGTATACTTGTAATGCTGTGAAGTTCCCAAACTCAAGCATGTCTCTAGTCAAGTGTACAGGACCCCAAATGCATCAACATACCAATCAATAGTGATTACTTCAGGAGTGGAGGGGCTCATGCCCCTTTCTCTTGTCCTGGGTGAGCATGGATAACCGGGAGGGAGGTTCACAAAACTCCCCCTCCACTACCCTCCCCATACCACTGATTGGCCTCTAGACCTTCAGTGTTAACGCCTAGGCCAGAGGTTTCGAGCCCCGTTAAGAGAGGACCTGGGGGGTCAGGCGGCTGTCCAGATGGGTCACTCTCACCCCCACAGCCTCCGTTGTGGCCTGAACGTAAGTGGTCCTTAAGCGTCTGTTTGTAGCGGAAGCTCCTGCCGCAGTAGGCACAGGGGTAGGGCCGCTCGCCCGTGTGGATGCGCTGGTGCTTCATGAGGTGGTGCTTGCGGATGAAGCTCTTGCCACATTGCGTGCAGCTGAAGGGCCGCTCGCCCGTGTGCAGCCGCCGGTGGTTCAGCAGGTGCTCCTTGCGCATAAAGCTCTTACTGCAGTCAGTGCACGGGTAAGGACGCTCGCCTGTGTGGATCATCTGGTGGCGGATCAGGGCCGAGTGGCCATTGAAGTCAATGCCACACTGGGGGCAGGAGAAAGGCCGCTCCTGCGCATGCCCGCGCTGGTGGAGCAGGAGGCTGATTTTCAGGCTGAAGCTCCGGCCACACTGCGTGCAGCGGAAGGGCCTCTCGCTGGCGTGAGCTCGCCGGTGGTTGGTGAGGCGGGCCTGGTCTGCAAAGCGCTTGGGGCAATCAGGACAGGGGAATGGGCGCTCAGTGCTGCTATGGACCCGGAGGTGATAGGTGAGTCTTGACGGGTGAGTGAAAGTCCTGGCACAGTGCGGGCAGGTGGGGGGCGTCTCATTGGCATGGGCCTGGGGGTTGCTGCCAAGCTCGGCTTGCTGAGAAAAGTGCTTGGGGCACTGGGCACAGGATAAGGGGTGCTCACCCGTGTGGCTACACTGGTGGGTCAGCAACATGTCTTGGCTGAGGCTCTTGCCACAGTGGTGGCATGAGAACATCTGCTCTCCAGCAGGGGGCGGCAGGGGATAGCTACCCAACTGAGTGAACGTCACTTGTCCCTCAGAGGCTTCTGCCAGGTCAGTGGCTGGATGTACAAAAGGTGTCATGGATGCAGGTTGCTGGCCTTTGAAAGCCACATCTGAAAAAGTATCCTTTGCTGCTGCTGGTGGTGGAGAAGAGAAGGTGACTGGAACCTCGGGGCACAAGGAGGCTCTGGAAAGGCCTTCGGCTTTGATGACAAGCTGTTCATCTGAAAGAAAGGACTCAGAGTCATACCCATCAAAAGTCTCACAGCAACTGTCGTCCCGTCCCGTCCCGTCCCCCCCCTTGGCTCTGATAAGAAGCTCAGTGTAGGGCTGAGATAATCATCAAGCCATCCATGGTGCCTGTGGCAAATCATCAGAGAATTTACTACTGAACATCTTCAATGCTCCCTGTTTGGAAAGGAACAACCTTGGCATCAATCTTCCCAGCATTACTTTCATTATGTTCCTCCTCTGCTCACAAACTTTGCAAGAGTCTCTGTTGCCTATTGTGACAGGCCTAAACTCATGTATTAATCTACTCCCATTCCTGTATTCTGCCAGATAAATCCTTCACGATTGCTAGCTCTCTCTTTACTGTCCCTGAAAATGAAGTGCACATTTCTGCTTCACATCTCTGCTTACTCTGTCCTTCCTTTTGTAGAATGCATCCACCCTCTTCCAAATTATACCCAGCACTTCACACCAACCATCCAGGGCCCAGTTCTGGCTTCACCTCCTTCTTTAGGTCTTATCTAAAAATGTAAACTAAAACCTATGCATATTCTCCAAACTTCTCATTTCTTGTATATAAGTCACCCATCCCACTCACCCCTGACACTTAACAACAGGCAGGCCTAGTATTGATGTGTGTCCCCAATATAAATACCTTGAAGAACAGAAACTGTCTTATTTCCTAGATTCTGAAAGAACATAGGGCATAGAGGCTATTAAAAATCAGGTTGCATTAAGTTATGTAAACAATCAGGTACCTTCTGATCTTGAGATTCTCTTCTATAATTCAGATAGTAAAATAAAGATGGTGCTACCTACCTTAAAAGGAAGATAATTTGTTTTGTTTCCCTTCATCATTTCCCCGAGGGCCAGCTCTTTATCCATAGTCCCATTTGTGCTTCCCCAATGATACTTTTGTCTCCACTGCTTGTCCTGCTCCCCTCCCCCCTTTTTGTTCTATTCTTTCTCCATGATCTTTAAATGTTCTTCTGTCTTTCCCCATCCTCATATTTTCGGTCTATCTGTATGCACTTATTTTCTTCCTCTGACAATTCTAATTTGTCTTTACACTTAAGAGTGTGTTTTCTTGCCCAGCCAGCGTGGCTCAGTGGTTGAGCGTTGACCTATGAAACAGGAGGCCATGGTTTGAGTCCTGGTTGGGGCCCGGGGAAGTGGGCTCGATCCCCAGTGTAGGGTGTGCAGAAGGCAGCCAATCAATGATTCTTTCTTATCACTGATGTTTCTATCACTCTCTACCTCTCCTTTCCTCTCTGAAATCAATAAAAATATTTTTTTAAAAAAATAGTGTGTTTTCTCACTTTAAATGTATCTTAATTTGATTTGTTTCATTTCTAACTTACTTGAGTATGTCTTTTTCCCTCCTTTTCCCATTCTTCTCTCACCTCCTTGCCTCCACAACCCATTTCACTGCTGTGTCTTCAGTCAGTCCTGGCAAAGCTGGACTTGGGCATGAAGGTCTCTTCGATGCATTACTCACCAGCATAGGTACCCTTGTATATGTCACTCTGCTTGGACTCCTGTGGGGGCCCAACCTGGGGCTCTTCCTCTTGTTTAATCCAAGACAGAATATCTGATGTTGAAATGACAGGCTCTATTTGTGGGGGGAAAAGAGAATGGCCTTCAGGGACTTGAATCAGAAAGTGAAAATAATCATGTTGGTTTGTTGAATACTACATATTTTGCCCAAATTTAACTATAACAACAAAATGGAGTCAGCCTTTAAAAAATGCTTACAATACTTAAGAGAACTAGTTCAAAATGAAGCCAAATTTATTTTTACATGATGTACTCAGCTTGATTCACTATTTTCAGTGAGCCCATTTCAAAACAAGTACATTTTTATTTTGGAGATGACACCCATAAATAATCTAAAATCGCCCAAGCCAGTATGGTTCAAAGGATAGAGCGTCGGCCTGCAGACTGAAGGGTTCGATTTCGGTCAAGAGCATATGCCTGGGTTACGGGCTCAATCCCCAACAGGGGGCATGCAGGAGGCAGCCGATCAATGATTCTCTCTCATCATTGATGTTTCTCTCTCTCCCTTCCTCTCTGAAATCAATAAAAATACATTTTCCAAAAAAGAAAAAGAAAAAGAAAAGAAATAATCTAAAATCAATAGTACCTTACATTTCATTAGCACAATTACTTTAAAAATATTTCCATTTTTGCCCTAACTGGTTTGGCTCAGTGGATAGAGCGTCGGCCTGGGGACTGAAAGGTCCCAGGTTCGATTCCAGTCAAGGGCATGTTACCTTGGTTGCGGGCACATCCCCAGTAGGGGTGTGCAGGAGGCAGCTGGTCGATGTTTCTCTCTCATCGATGTTTCTAACTCTCTATCCCTCTCCCTTCCTCTCTGTAAAAAATCAATAAAATATATTTCCATTTTTTGTTTCATAGCTTTTTTATGAAATAAGGAATATTCTCTCCATTTAAGTAGAGGGCCCACAGAAGTTAAATAGATAATAAGTATTTATGGTAAGTACCTTATGTTCAATGATTTACTTTAAAATACAGCAGAAAAAAACACAAAGAAACAAGGATGTCCAGCAATTTTTTTCTTAAATGTTAATTAAAAAACAAGTATACTTCCAGAATTACAAAGTTAGGTTAAGTTTAAATACAGACCTGACTCCTCAGAAACATATTTTTCAGGTTCCCAATTCTAGGCTCTCTCTAAGACATCATATTACCTTTGCCTATTAAATTACACAGGTCTTTGTTTCCTGAATGCTGGGATGGGGGAAAATAGTGTTTATAAGTCCCTCAGACCTTGGAGGTTCTTTCAGAAAGAAAAGCCTCCAGAAGCTTATAACATGCCTCATCTGGTCAGCAAGAAACAGCTATGCTTGCTATTCCAGCTGAGGCCTATATAACCTTTTTTGGACTAAAAGAACAAGCTGGCAAGCTGACAAGGTCCAGAGAGTAAATTCATGCTCTCTATATTACTGGTATTTCTCAGAAAAGCCTTATAGGCAGGTTATGGCTTTATCCTTAGAAACTGAGAACGCACTGGTTTTCCCAATGCCTTTGAGTCAGAGACCACTGAAATCTAAAGGTATACCCCAAGCAGAAATAAGAGCTTGAACAAAACTAAGGCCCAAAGATAGTCAGGTTACACAGAGACTGGACACAGGTTTTAGCACATGTGGCAGTTTGCCTTTCCAACATCCCATTTTGAGCTACAAGGCTGAAATGTATTAAACATGCTCTGACCTTAACTTTTCTTTTTCTTTCAGGTTTTATATACACACATATAAAGAAAGAAGCAGAGGGGAAAGGCTAAGTATAAGGAAAAGGATCTTTTAACAGACATCCATAGGATGAACTTTCTCTTCAACGATACGAGACTTTTAGAATGTTTAATTGCTGCCCTGACCAGTGTGGCTCAGTTGGTTGGGTGTCCAATTTGATTCTCACTCAGGGCACATGCCTGAGTTGTGGGCTCAATCCCTGGCAGGGGGTGTACAGGAGGCAGCCGATCAATGTTGATGTTTTGCTCTCACAGTGATGTTTCTCTCTCTCCAAAAATAAATAAAAAGCCTTTAAAAAAATGCTTAATTGCTTCTCTGCATCAATTTTCTGAGTAACAAGTTAGTGCTCTCAAAAACCTCAAAGTAATTCAAGTGGCTCTGACATTTGTTTTTATCATTACAAACTCATAGAACGTTATATATTTGATGAGCTCCAATCCACTGTAGTCATTATTCTTTTTAATACTCAAATGGTCCTTACTTTGGCCAGCAGGACCCCCCTCAGATCTGCTTTCTGTCATTTCGCATCATCAAACATCTGTGGGTTTTTTCCCATTTCTGATATGACAAACTATCTCAGGTTCACCTTGGACATTCCAAGCACACAATCAATGGAATTTAGAGACCACACTCTGGATGATAAGGATGCTAACTGCTAATAGGTTGTCACTGCTTCTAGGTCTTTTCAATGGATGGAGCTATAAAAGACATACCTTTTAGAAAAAGGAAAGTGTCATGAGTTTATATTCATATTTAAGATTATAAGATTTTAATTAAATCCTTTGATTTAATACTTGTATCTTTTCTCTCTCACCCTGAAAATTTTGGTTGCTAATGACATTAACATGATCTTAAAAAATTTAAGTAAAATATTTACAAAATCAAAACTGTAGCCCTGGCCAGGTGGCTCAGTTGCTTGGAGCACTGTTTTGTACACCAAAAAGGTTATGGGTTCGATTCCCAGTCAGGGCATATACCTAGGTTGCAGGTTCAGTCCCTGTTCGGGGTGCATATGGGAGGCAACTGATCGATGTTTCTCTCTCACATTGATGTTTCTCTCTCTCTCTCAAATCAACAAAACATATCCTCGAGTGAGGATTAAAAACAACAACAATAACAACAACAACAATAAAACCCTATAAAACAGTACATTCAGAGAGGTCTAGTTTCCACTTCTAGTCTCTTTCTCCCTAAATAGATAGATAGCTGTTCTTACTGGTTTTTGTTCTAATCTTCCATTGTTTCTTTGTGAAAATATAAGCAAGTATGTATACTTCTTGATATTTTCCCCCCTTTATGTGGCATACTAGACAAACTGTGCTGTACCTTGATTTTTTTACTTGACAGTATATTCTGGACATGTCCACAGCAGCTTAGAGATCTTTCTCATTCCTTCTCATAGCTGTTCTATGTGCTTACAGAGATCTTTCTCATTCCTTCTCATAGCTGTTCTGTGTAGCTGTACCACTGTTTATTCAAGAATTTCCTATTGATGGGCATTTGGATTCTCTCCAACCTTTGGGTACAATATTAGTCAGTGGCCGACCATAAAAGCTATGCAGAACTGAAAAAAACTAAGCCAGTTCTCTAGAAGTGTAGGTTGTTAATACAGTTCATTGGCTACATATGTCTTCATTAAATGTGGGAAATCCCAGAAAGCTAACCATACTTTTTGAATAACGATGCTAAAAGTTTCTCTGGTCACTTAACTAGATCAGTATAAGTAAGTTAATATTTACTGGATTAAATAATTAGGTCTTAACCCTACAGTGCATAGAATACGGTTATATCAACTACAGTGTGGTGAGAGTGGTGGGAGTATATAACCTGAGGACCTTTTATAAATAAAAGATCAGGAGAACTTGGATACTAAGATACAGGACTAATACAGATACCTGTGTGGTGACAGTATGGCAACTGCTGGCCAGGTCACCACAATGGCACTCAAAGCACATTCCTCACAGGCCTCAGGAATCCCAACAGTGGACACTTAAAGACATACAACAGGCTCTGGAAAAAGCAAGAGAATCCAGAAAAACTGAATACTGACCAGGTAAGAGGAAGGTGATAAATGCTGAGGTTTTAAGGTTTGAGAGGTAGTCAATAATAGAAAGTCTGATCACAAGAAAATATAAGACTGTAATGTCTACACTTGTTGACTATTATTTTAACTATGAGGAAATCTGATTTTGTGTTGTGTGTATGTTTTAAACAGATAAGGGCCATGCTGTCTGAACGGAGCTGGAACCTTGAGGTTCTGGGATGTATACAAAGATATAAACTGAGTTAAAACTGGTACTGAGATCTGACTCCTTAAGGCTTAAAGCTTAAGCAGACAAAAAATATCTGATACATGCAAATACCATGGGTAAAAATATAAAAATTAATATTTTGAAACTTTCTGTGAAACAGGTGTGGAGCTCTAATAGGTGAATGTGTTAAGTATTTGTGTAATAATTCAAAACCTTTAAGTTTTATCATTTCCAGGATGATTCTTGTTCTCAAATAGGATAAACTAAAATAAAAGGATTATATTGGGATGTGCCTTAATCACTGATTTTGCTTATGAAAAGATGGTCTTGCTGGACCAGAGTGAAGAGGAAGAAACATGGGATAATGATGATACACCTAAAACAAAGATGATCAAAGTCTCCCCAGCTCACGTCAGATGGAAAGACACATACAAACTGAAAGTAAAGGGATAGAAAAAGACATTTCATGAAAATGGATACACAAAAAAAGCTGAGGTAGCAATACTTACAACAGATAAAATAGACTTTAAAACAAAGGCTATATAACAAGAGACAAAGAAGGATCCACTTCGGGGTATTTATCCAAAGAAACCTAAAACCCTAAATCGAAACACATATTACTTACAATAGGCAAGATATGGAAGCAACCTAAGCGTCCATCGACAGATGAGTGGATGGAGAGGTGGTGCATGTACACAATGGGATACTACCCAGCCATAAAGAAGATGAAATGCTGCCACCTGCAACACCCTGGATGAACCCAGACGGTATTATTCTGAGTGAAATGAGTCAGACAGAGGAAGACAACTGCCAGATGACTTCACTTATATGTGGAACATAAAGAACAATATGAACAAACAAGCACAACAGAAACTGACCCATAGATAGAGAATATTTTGATGGTTGCCAGATGGGAAGTGGGGTTGGAGGGATGGGTGGAAAAAGTGAAGGGATTAAGAAGTAGAAATTGGTAGTTACAGAATAGTTACAGGATGTACAGTACAACACAAGGTATATAGTCAATAATCTATAATAATAAAAGGGTGATATGCTAATTAGACCGGACGTCCTTCTGGGGGAAGCCGGTGCCTGCGGGCAGCCAGAGGAAAGCCGGCCTGGGTCCCGGGTGCCTGCCAGCAGCTGGAGGGAAGCAAGCCCAGGTCCCCGGTGCCAGAGGGAAGTTGGTCCCGGCAGTCAGGGGAAGGAAGGCCTACCCTTGCACAAATTTCGTGCATTGGGCCTCTAGTACTATAATAATTATGTATCAGATGCTTACTAGATTTATCAGGGTGATCACTTAGTAAGTTATATAATGTCTAATCACTGGCTCGTACACCTGAAACTAATAATATTGTATGTCAACTGTAATTGAAAATTAAAAATAATTTAAAGTAAAAAAGAACCACCCAAAACAGGCCATTTCTTAAAAAAAAAAAAAAGAAGAAGTCTCCTCAGGACCACAAGATTTAGAAATAAATATATTTTACTTTTGGGTCATTCTTGGCTGGATAATGACTTTTAGTAATTATCCCATCTGACCCTCTTGTTTTTCTCAAAAGAATTTTAAAAACCTGGAGTTCAGTTTTAAAATTATCAGTAACCACCCTGGCCGAATGGCTCAGTTGATTGGAGCATGCACCAAAAGGTTGCAGGTTCAATTCCCAGTTAGGGCACATACCTAGATTGTGGGTTTGATCCCCAGTCAGGGCGTGTACGGGAGGCAATGTGTTCGATGTTTCTCTCTCACATCAATGTTTCTCTCTCTAAAAAATAAGTAAAAAGTACATATGTTCAGATGAGGATTAAAACAAAACAAAACCTACCAGTGACCAAATAATGGCCACATACACACAGCTGGTCTGCAGTTTAGTCCTAGTAATAGAATTAAAGAAGAATTTCAGAAAATTTCAACTTTTTATTTCTTTGTATTCTCCCATTCTCTAATTGCATGTAATTTTATCTAAGATACTAGGTATCAAAGACTATTCCATATAAGGATATAATAATTTATCTTTCCCTTCATCGGATTTAGACAATGGTGATGGAGAGTATAAAATTAATCCCATTCTACACATATGTTTTTATTTAATCACAATGTACTTCTGAAAGCTCCATGGAATACAATAATAAATTATGGGTTTTATTTTATAAGAATTATGGGAATAAGATGATTGCTTCTTGGCCTTTTGGCCAAGATCAGGTGTAGAATAAGATGAAAAAGGATTTAAGTAGTTAAAGTGGAGAATAATCTATCAAAAAGATATTTTGCTAGTTCTGTCACTGAAGTGGTCTAGAATTAGTATCCTCCACCTAATATTCATGTGAAATGATCTGTTATGCACCTTAAGGACCAGACGGTTTAATTCTATTCTCCACTGAAAGGAATCAGGGTGTTTTTAATGTGTAAGGAGAGCAGAAATCTACATAGGCCTCTGTTAGAAAGGCCTGCTTGCAAGGTTGGCCCCTGGCTGGCAAACAGTTGCCTATACTGACATAAAACTTTCCCTAAATGTTAAGAGTGCCTCAGGGGGCCTACAATGTATATGTGGTTTATGCTGAACACCTGCTTTCCTCCCGGAAGTCTGGAATTTTGGTATGTGTTCGGCAGAGTATGCCTACATGCCCATCTCCCATGAAAACATTGGGTGCTGAGTCTCTAATCGGTTTCTCTGGGAGACAACACTCTGCAAGTGTCACAACCCCATGCTGGAGAAATTGAGTGAGTCCTCTACAGAGCAGAGGCCTCTGGAAGCTCCAGTTTCCTCCAGACTTTGCCTTGTGCCTTTTATCTTTGCTGGTTTCCTTTGTGTCCTTTGCTGCAATAAATCTTAGCCCTGAGCATGACTATATGCTGAGTCCTGTATGTCCTCCTAGTGAGCTACCGAACCTGAAGGTGGTCTTGGGACCCCAAACACAGCCTGGAACTTTTTAAAAATATATATATTTATTGATTTCAGAGAGGAAGAGAGAGGGAGAGAGAGATAGTAACATCAATGATGAGAGAGAATCACTGATAGGCTGCCTCCTGCACAACTCACACTGGGGATCAAGCCCGTAACCCAGGCATGTGCCCTGACTGGGAATCAAACCGTGACCTCCTGGTGCATAGGTCAAAGCTAAACCATTGAGCCATGCCAGCCAGGATCTATTTTTAAAAACAAACAAACAAACAAACAAACAAGTACTGTCTTGACTGGTTTGGCTCAGTAGTTAGAGAGTCGGCCCACTGACTGAAGGGTCTCAGGTTTGATTCCAGTAAAGGGCACATACCTTGGTTACAGGGTCGATTTCTGGCCCTGGTTGGGGCTCATGCAGGAGGCAATCAATCAATGTGTTTCTCTCACACCAATGTTTCTCTCTCTCTCTCTCTCCCCCTCACTTCAATTCTTTCAAAAAATCAATGGGAAAAATGTCCTCAGGTGAGGATTAACCAAAAAACAACAAATAAATAAATAAATAAATAAATAAATAAATAAGATAAAAGTAATAACTTATTGCTTAAATTTCCATAAGAAAAAAAATCATGTTTGAAAAAAACAATACTGAGGTAGTACTGAAAGGACACAGGAGACAATGTAACGTCCTCTCACTAGCCAAGCTGACAGTTGGAACAACACAAAGAAAATAATTGACTTAATAAACTCTTGAATATATAGTTCAGCGGTTCTCAACCTGTGGGTCGCGGTCGAATGACCCTTTCACAGGGGTCGCCTAAGACCATTCTGCATATCAGATATTTACATTACGATTCATAACAGTAGCAACATTACAGTTATGAAGTAGCAACGAAAATAATTTTATGGCTGGGTCACAACATGAGGAACTATATTTAAAGGGCCAGAAGGTTGAGAACCACGGATATAGTTAAACATAAAAGGGGGGAAATATAAAGGGTTCTAAAGATAGACAAACTTGAGGGGCTTTTCAGTGCTATATATTGATTGGTCCAAGTCTTAAGACTCCTCTCTTCAAGTTCTGGTAAATGTCTAGGTTGTTAATCACCAATGAAAACTAAATTGTAAAGAATCAAACCACAGTATTAAGTAAATTCAAAGGTTATACTATTTAATTTTAACTAAAAATGTATAAACATATATAGGTTGACTATCCACAAGTTGACAAGATGGCAGCTAAATAAAACTTTCAGACATCATTACAAAACCAAATTACTTATATCTTTTCCATTCATCCCCCAAAATAAAATGACACACTGATTTTATCCTTGCTGAGGGCTATGTCAGGTAACTAATAACGTAGAATAAGAATAATGCATGTTTCTGATCAAGTCACTCATCTCTATTTGTGATAAGACTCATTACATATATTCATGACATAGATATTAATCAAATTCAACCTATTATATTGCCTAAATACTATCACTCACACATTCTTAAAAATAATGTGTGGCAGATATATCCTTACCACAGAGAGAATGTTCACTTAAGATTTGAGCACTTCATTACATGTAAAATTTACCTCAAAAGACTTATATGCATGCATATAAGCATAACCAATGGACATAAGACACTGGGGAGTAGGGGAGGCCAGGGGACTGTCAAGGGCGGGGGGAAAAAGGAGACATATGTAATACCCTTTGTAATACTTTAAGCAATAAAAAAAATAAATAAATAAAAAGAAAAAACAAAACTGAACTCTAGATTAATGATATTCATGCTAAACTACGTAGGGGGACATGTGTTGATGTCTCTACTGATTTTGAAATATAATGAAAATAGAATGGATGAATTGATGGATAGAGGGGTGTAGAGATGGGTATATATGTGATAAAGTATAAAATGTTAGTGGTAAAACCTATTTTTACTTTTCTGATTGCTTTAAATTTTTTGTAATAAAATGTTAGAATAAAATAACAGTAGATGAGACGGGGGCGGGGGGGGAAGGGGGGTGTTGTACGTTCATCTAGTAGAGACATCTGGAGGATGAGGTTTCTGTGAGCTTTCTATCCAGCAAAGAACAAAAATGGCATGAGATTTTTCTGCTAGCAGAGGTGGACATTGGCTAGCAGTCTTTCCCACACAAAACCAAGCAGCTTAACAAAAAATATATTAGGGATGGTTACTTAATGATAGCTAGTTCCCACAGTGGGCAACATTTGGTTGAGTGCATCTCTCTGAGGAACCCTGAAGATCTCCAGCACTTCTCAGTGACCAGGTGTACATTCCCCGGAAGCCACTTTCCTTCCAAATGAGCACCACTGCTTGTTCTGCCACCTAAGGACATGTTTATTTTACTAAATAACTAGGGTTCACAACCTTTGTCATGGGATGCAACTAGCAGTGCTCACATGTGTGGTAGTGATGGGTGAAGACATGGGACAAGGTGGTCTCTCAGCTCATTCTCTAACTGACCCAGTCAGTCTAGTTGCTGTGGCACTGAGAGGCTCTAGAAGCCACCAGGCCTGCTTCTTCAGTCCTGAGCCATCATCTCTGACCAAGTAAAATCTAGGTGACAGGTATACAGGAGACACGGAGTGGCGAATCTTTTCTCTCGTTTACCTTCACTGGGGTCGGTGGGAATCTCACTTTCCTCTGGCCCCGCATGATCCTCCGTATTATGTTCTCCTTCTGGCTGAATCTGAGATAAGACATCAGGTTGATTCATGGCATAATCTAGGAGTAAGAAAGAAAAGGAGGTGTAACAAACAGATAAATCAGAGTGACAATTAATTGCCATCAAGGTTGAACTGAGGCTTTTTTTTATAAATCTTTACCCCAGGATATTTTTTCCATTGACTTTTTTTTTTTTTTTTAAGAGAGAGTGGAAAGAAGAGAGGGTCTGTGGAGGGAAAGGGAGAGAGAAACATCGATGTGAGAGAGACACATCAACTGGTTGCCTCCCAGACCGGAGCTGGGGGATTGAACCCGTGCTAACCATTGAGCAACTGGCCAGGGAGAGCTGAAGGCTTTGGGGTCCACAGTCCAAGCAGATTTCTTTTAAATTATAGATCACTTCTCCCCATCCACTCACCTCCAACTATATCTGTTAGGAAAATAGGTAAGAGGAGAGGTAACGTGTGGGAAAAGTACACGGGATACTTTGGCACAGCCCACCTGCTACTTTCATTGAGTAAGAGTGACAGTGTGTCTCAAGGGGAGGAATCAAGGCCCTCCCAAAGTGAAGGCTACCCATGGAAACCACTGCATAGCTCTGAACTTCATTCTCTGTCCTATGTTTGGCACAAGGAGAAATTATATTTCCTATTTAGCAAGTATGAACTAGATATCTGTGGCTTGGAAGCAGAATCTGAAGTGTGTAAGGACAGCATGAAAATGAGGACCACTGGAGGAAAAGGGCCAGTTCTGAGCCCTCCTGGGGCTGCTATCACCTACTCACAAGGTGCCAACTCAGCCTCACCCATAGAGATGAGAGACTCGTAGTTGCCCTTCATGATATTCTTGTAAAGTTCCTTTTGCCATTCTTCTAACTTTTCCCACTCTGGAGTGGAAAAGTAGATGGAGATATCATCAAACGTCACAGGCACCTGAAATTACAATGACAGTGGGGTTAGTCCCTCCCACTGCAATTCAATCATTCAATAAACCTACTAGTATACTAAGTGCCTTCTAGTTATAAAAAAACTATGTGAGCTGCTGAAAGGTTACAGGAAAAAAAATTAAGACACAGATCCAACCTCCAGGAGTTTACAATGTTTTCAAGGAGAAAGGTGATAAGCTTCAGGGCTACAGTCACTCAGAGATAGGTACAAATGAGAAACAGTATTTAATTCACACAACATAACATATTCTGAATACTCACTAAGTACTAAGCCTATTCAAAGCACCAGGATTATAAAAATAAGCTTTCTGCTCAAAAGGAGCGCTTGGCTGTATTCGAATTAATGACATGGACAAAAAATTTTGGAAATAGCTATACTGGGGCTGTGGTGAGTCTAGAAGAGATAGGACTCTAGCTAGTCTAAAGGACAGGTAGATTATAAACAGGCTAGAGCCACCAATTGCTCATTTTTACATCTTTTTAAAAAATATTTTTTTATTGATTTCATAGGGGAAGAGAGAGGGAGAGAGAGAGAGAGAGAGAGAGAGAGAGAGAGAGAGAGAGAAACATCAATGATGAGAAAGAATCATTGATCAGCTGCCTGCTACACACCCCACACTGGGGATCAAGCCCACAACCTGGGCATGTACCCTGACTGGGAATCAAACCGCGACCTCCTGGTTCATAGGTCGATGCTCAACCACTAAGCCACCCTGGCCGGGCTCATGTTTACAACTTGCTCAGCACCTAAAATTGTTCTTAGGGCAAATGTAGATACTCAATAGTTTATTTTAATCTAACCTCACTACACAAAAGATTTGTGATAGCTTACAACAAAAATACAGATGATAAAATAATGACAAAAATAAAGGATCAGGATGGGCTTCTGGTTCCAGGTTTTGAACTAAGCACACATGTACTTCCCTTCCTTGTCAGAGTTCCATTGAAATGACAGTATGTAAGATCGAGAGGGACTGTATCTACAACAGCACCAAGAATGAGAAGGAAAGGCCATCACTAGACCAGAATTCTTTTTTTTTTTTTAATTTTTTATATATTTTTTTATTGATTTTTTACAGAGAGGAAAGGAGAGAGATAGAGAGTCAGAAACATCGATGAGAGAGAAACATCGATCAGCTGCCTCCTGCACATCTCCCACTGGGGATGTGCCCGCAACCCAGGCACATGCCCTTGACCGGAATCGAACCCGGGACCCTTCAGTCCGCAGGCCAACGCTCTATTCACTGAGCCAAACCGGTTTCGGCTAGACCAGAATTCTTAATGAGTTTCTCACTGAGACCCAGAGGATGGGCTCCTGCTGGGTTCTAAGGTGCATGAGGAAGCGGCACCTCCCTGCACATGGGAAAGGACTGCAGGTGAGGAACCCAGAGAATTCCAAGCTGAAAGCTGGCAGATACACTGAGTAGGAATGCAAGTGATTATAAACTGCAGTTTGAAGGTCCATCTTTAGAATAGTGGGCCCCCCACTGTCATCCTCATCAGCCCTGTCAGAGTGGAGTAGCAGCAGCCTTTACCACAAAACTGAAACCACAAACCTCACCTGTAAAGAAATTGTCTCACCTGCCTGGAGACAGCATGGGATTCCTATGGACTGACCACTAGGTACCATCTTCCGCCTGGCCTCTGGGTGGTCCCTGCACTGCCTATTTACTCCTTGCCACAGAACCTTAAAGTGAAGCCCATCTGTATGAGGCACCTACAGACCTAACCCTGTCCTGCAAAGGGAAGATCCTTTGGTTAAACAGACTTATGCAGTGGCTGAGAAGACATGCCAGCTTCCTATAATTAACCAATTAATCAATGGAATCCTCTACTTATAAATATAAATATGTAATCGAGGATTACGCAATATAAAAACAGCACCAAGATGAACAAATACTACAAATAATCCTAGAGGGGAAAAAAAAACACCCAATAAACTGAAAATCAAACAAATCTCTAACACACAGTCCCAGAGAAATTCAAACACATATTGCATCCATTTAAAAAATTCAGGCTGTTTTTTAAAAAGAACCAGAAAAGAAATATTCTTTTTTTAAAAAATATAAAATATATTTTATTGATTTTTTACAGAGAGGAAGGGAGAGGGATAGAGAGCCAGAAACATCGATGAGAGAGAAACATCGATCAGCTGCCTCCCACACACTCCCCACTGGGGATGTGCCTGCAACCAAGGCACATGCCCCTGACCGGAATTGAACCTGGGACCCTTGAGTCCGCAGGCTGACACTCTAACCACTGAGCCAAACCAGTCAGGGCAATATTCTTGAAAAATAAATATAAAATTGTTTAAATAAAAATTAGAAAGGCTAGAAGGGAAGGTCACAGAACTCTAATTAAAAAGGTGAAAAGCATGAAGGAAGAAAAAAATATATATCTATAATAATAATATGCTAATTAGATCTGATGTCCAGAAGGACAAAGCCGGAGCGGAGCTGTGAGGGAAGCCTGGGTCCCAGGTGCCAGAGGGAAGCTGGTGCCTGCAGCTGGGGGAAGGAAGGCCTACTCTTGCACGAATATTGTGCATTGGGCCTCTAGTCCTATCTAATAAAAGAGAAACATGGTAATTAGCCATACGGCCGCTACCCTTCCCATTGGCTAATCAGGGTGATATGCAAATTAACTGCCAGCCAAGATGGCGGCCGGCAGCCATGCACTGAAGCGAACAGGGAGGCTTGCTTGCTCCAGTGTCTGTGGACTCCAATGTTCCCCGCCTGACTTGCCGGCCTCTCAGCTGCAACTCTAAGCAACTATGTTGCAAATATAGAAGCTAAACAAAACCCCAGAAACCTGC